GGGTCTCGCTCTTGCTCAGGCTGGTCTCGAACTCCTGAGCTCAAACGATCCTCCCGACTTGGCCTCCCAGAGTGCTAGGATTACAGGCATGAGCCACCCCACCTGGCCGGATCTCCCTTTTAAAGAGCAACATATTCCCTATTAGTGAGACAATGACAACCATGTCACCTGCTCTGCTTCCTTTTTTGAATTTGGTTGCGAGAAACCCAGAGCTAAAATTAATTCTCAGCCACAACTGAGTTAATGCTCACAGTTGACTTTGTGTTTTAAACTGACACATTTATGCCTGTCTTACTATTAATATATGTTGTTTCATATCCTTTTTCAAAGGAGGAAAGGTATGTATTTTACATAAAGAAAACTTTGAAATCTTTTTTACACATAAAAATTCACATATTTGTTTGTAAATGTATACACATCTCAGGAAGGACACCCACCAAACTGGCAAACGGTACGTGGTCTCCTGGGAAGGAACCAGGGGGGTGGGAAAGAGGGCAATGACCTTTTTACTGGACAGCCCTTGGAACTGTGCACCATGTGTACATATCGTCTATCAAAAAAGCATACTTTTTAAAAAATGTATTAATTTGAAATGTATTAACTTTGGTAAAGTTTACTGAGACTAAGGCAGACTCAGTCAACTATAATTCAGATTCAGGAAACCTTAGCTAGCCTCTCAGATTCTCACCAGAAACCCTCTGAACCGTGCAGGGAAGAGCCTGAGCAGAATTCTACAAGCAGGTGGGGAACAGAAGTACAGAGGTCTGTGACCCCAAGATGCCTGGGGGCCTGCACTTCATGGGCAGTAAAGCTGAAGGCGCCGGAGAAGGTAACTGCTGCGCCTGGCAACCACAGAGCCGCAGTCACCTGCCCTGTTTCCTTCTCGCAAGTCAGGGCTCTTGCTTCCTGCCTACGTGCTAGTGCTGTAACCCGGGAAGCCAGCCCGGGAAGAAGCTGAGGCTGCTGAAGAGTCTACATCCACTCAGTAAGCGAGCTCTTCAGTGCTGATCTGTATGAAGTGGGGGTCGCCCTCTTCTCTCCTCAGGACACAGAGATTCACGTTATCCAAGTCAAGCCTTTATTACAGGGTGCTGAAGCACAGTCCCTCTGAATGGACAAAGACTGATACCAGCTGGTGGTGAGGACCCCTTGGAGGGCATGCAAATGAGCGTGGCTCTCTTGGAGGCCAAGCTGCAATTTCTGTGTGCAAGCATTTCTGCAGGACGGATTCCTTGAACCAAAACTCTTGGTCAAAATTCTTTGATTTGCTCAATCTACTAAATTGTTCTCCAAACAATGTATATGAAACTTTTATTTTCCCAAACACCTTCACCAATACTAGCTCTTACAGTTTATTAAATACTGGCCAATCTGGTGGGAGAAAAATATTAACTGCCTCCCACCCCTAGTCACTAGTATATTTTGTTCCTAGGTATTTATAGCTTTTATTCCTATTGGGAACAGGATATTTTTCCCCATATACTTTATAATTGATTATTGCTTTTAAGGTGATTCATCTGTCCTAGTTTGCCTGGGACTTTGCCAGTTTTAGCCCTCCAAGTCCAGTACCCTGGGGAACGCTCCCCCCCAGTTCAGGCAAAGTAGAATGATTGGTCACCCTACAGCAAAACTATTAATTTCTGAATATTTTAATCTGTGTCTGACTGCCTTACTGAAATCCTATAAGCGCTATCATTTTTCAGCTGACACCCTATCTGGAAACTCCAAGACAATCATTCTCTCTATTAACAACAATCTTGTTGTTCCTTTACATGATTTGCATCTCTTTTCTTTCTCTGGTTTTTATGCACTGGCTAAAGCCTTCAGAACATGAAATAACAGTAGAGACAATAGACTTTTTTTTCTTATACCTAGTTTTTGGGGGAATACTTCTAATGTTTCACCAAGCGTATGATGCTGCTATGGGTTTCTGGTATTTATCTGTAAATAAAAGAAGTTTCTTTCTATTTCCTGCTTACATAGAACTGTTTTTGTCCTCCAGAAATCAGGGATACATACCTTTTTTTTTTTTTTGGCATTTATTAGAATGTTGTCTGCCTTACTCAATTAGCGTTACTTCTTAATGTCAAACCATCCTTGCATTCCCCGGGATGTTGCTAATATTTGCCAAGCACTTATTGTGTATTAGATATTCCAAACACTTATTCATATAATCCTTACATCTCACCAAGAGGTAGGCAGTCCCACTTATAGATGAGGAAATTAAATCACAAATAAGTTAAATAGCAAGTCCAAGCAGGGTCACACAGTGAGTGGAAGGGCCAGGATTCAAACCCGAGGAGTGTGGAAGCACAGCCCGAGTCCTAATCCTGACATTCTGTGCCTCTCAGTCTTACCTGGTCATGATGTGCTAGTTTTAAAAAACACAACTAAATTTGATGTTCTAAATATTTTATTTATTT